GGGAATACCAGTAAATCCCACAGGCCTGCCCCTACCCACCCCAATCTGCCAGAACTTGAATGTGGATAGAAGGTGAGGCCCAGCCCTGATTGCTACATCACAGACACTCTGAGGGGCTGGAGCCAGCTCTCTGGCTGTTGGGAGGGGGCTTGAAGTGATGGACATCCAGTCTTCAGGGCCTTAATGAGCTCATAGGTGAAAAGCTATGAAAGCCCTGTAAAGAAAGCCAGCTAGGATGGTACTGACACAAAAACAGACACTTGGACCAATGCATTAATGTAGATCGATGTTTCATGCCAGAAACAACCCCAGGCACATTTGTCTGATATGACAAAAACATGCACTAGAGGAAAGATAGTTGCTTTAGTAAATGGTGCTTGGAAAACTGGCTATCCACATGCAGAAGATTGCATCTTTACTCATACTTTTCACCAAGTACTAAAGTCAAAATGGACCAAAGACCTAAGTTTTAAAACAAAAACATTTAATCTGCTGGAAGATAAAATAGCTAAAACTCTTGAAGACATAGGTGTAAGGAAGGATTTTCCGAACAGAACCTCAGTTGCACAAGAAATAGCATCAAGAATCAACAAATGAGATCATATCAAATTGAAAAGCTTCTGCACAGCAAAAGAAACAACCAACAGATTGAAGAAACAACCCATAGAATGGGAAAATTTTTGCCAGGTATTCCTTGGACAGAGGAATAAAGAACTCAAAAAAAAAAAAAAATAGACCCCCTCCAGTAAAAGACTCAATCAAAAATGGGAAAATGAAATAAAGAAGTGCAAATGGCCAATAAATACATGAAAAAAAGTGTTCAACATCTCTGGCCCTTGAAGTAATGCAAATTAAAACATCTTACTCCAGATACAATGACTGTCTTCAAGAAATCAAATAACAACAAATGCCACTGCTGGTGGAACATAAACTAGTACAACCATTATGGAAATCAGTATGGTGATTCCTCAAAAAACTAAAACTAGAAATTCTATTTGACCCAGCTATTCACCTTCTGGATATCTTCCAAAAGAGTTAAAGACATATTACAGTGATACATGAATATCCATGGTTGTAGTAGCACAATTCATAACAGCTAAACCTTGGAAGCAGCCTATATGTCCAGCAACAGATGAATGGATAAAGAAAGTGTGGTATTTATGTACAATGGAGTATGACTATGCCATAAAGAAGGACAGACTTGAGTCATTTATAGAAAAATGGATGCACTTTGAGACCATGTTGGGCCAGGGATATAGCTCAGTGGCACAGCACCTGCCTGGCAAGCACAAGGTTATGAGTTCAATTCCTGGTACCAAAAAAAAAAAAAAAAAGAGAGAGACCATGTTGTAGTCAGAGTTTACAAGAGAATGGATTTAATACAGGACACATAATTTATAGGGTTATTTTATAATATTCACCCAAAAAGTCAAATGCAAAAGAAAGCAGGAGATCTATCCACACACAAAGACCAAAAGAATCCAGCGGAGGGCCTGGGTCCCAAGGCAATGTCCTGCACAAGTCCAGCTGAAGACCTAGAGCCCATGGCAATGGCTCCCATGAGTCCAACTGGAGGCCTAGAGCCCACGGCAATGTCTCGTGCAGGCCTGTTTCACCGATCTGTGCTGGGAAGGCCCAAAGGTCAGTGGTGGAGGCTAGAAATTCTGCACCAGTGGGATGAAGGATCTGTGCCAGCAAGCTGAGGGATCTGCACTGGAGCCAGGAAGCAATACTCAATGCAAGGACTAGAGCTCCCCTGAAGAGAACCTCAGCCATCCTGAGCAACAGTGACGACCCAAGCTCCTCCTCCTCTGATGAGAATAGTCGAGTTCACATCAGCGAAGCCAGCATGACAAGCTTCTCCAGGAGGATCAACAGCACACCATCTTCCCCTCCAATTCTCCTTTTATACTGTTGACAACAAGCCTCAGGTGGGCCTTCCATGCTGATTCAGTCCAGCTGGGTGTTCCAAGTTGACCATTAGTTAATCCACCACAGACCATACTGTTAAACTGCATGGTTTCTCTTAGATGAGATACTCAGGATATATATAAAGAACAAAGTGAAAGATAGATAATAGGAGATAGACCTTTTGCAGAATGGAAGAGGACCAAGAGATGAAGAGAGGAGAAGGGGATGAAAAAAGAATTAAGATGTGTCATGTACATGTACCAACTCCCCATGAGGGATGCAATTGTTGTGTACTGCAAATATGTACTAATAAAAAAATAAAAATTGAAAACAAAAAAGGTAGTTGGGGCTAGGACATTAGGAGAGGGTTTTGGGGTGTTATGAGGCAGAACTCAAGGCTTGCTTGTCCCATGTTTTCTTCTTCCCCCTGCCAGTGTTAATAATAACACACCCCAGAAAGCAGCTACATTGCCCAGCAGGTCTGATTTCTTCCTCTGCCACCCACCCTGTGTGCCCTTTGCTTAAATGTCTCCCAGGGAGACTTCCTGGGTTGCTCCCACTCAATTACAATCCCTCCTCCAGTTTGCTAATTTATATTTACCCAGCACCCACTTGGGCTCCTGGTGCTGAGAATACAAGGAAGACCAAGTACTTGCTCTATGAGACTTATGTCACGATGGAGGAAGCAGATCCCAATCTGTGACCATAATAAAGATAGATAAATAAATAAGGAAACTATCCACAATATCCATGTTATCCAAGATAACTTCAGACAATGACAGGTGCTGTGACGAAAGCAGGGTGAGATCATGGTGATCCCTGGCAAAGATGGGCTGGGGAGGGACAACTGAACTGGGAACTGAAAAAAGAAAATAAGGAAGTCAGGCATGGCGGTGCATGTCTGTGATCCCAGCTGCTCGGGAGGTGGAGGCAGGAGGATCACAAGTTCTGAGTCCGTCTGGGCAAGTTAACAAGGCTGTTTCTTAAAAATAAAAAAGAAAAAAATTCAAAGACTGAGCTTAGTGGTAAAGCATCCCTGGGATCTCTCCCTAGTACCACAAAGAAGGAGAGAGAGAGGAAAGAGAAGGAAGAGGAGGAGAAGGTTGAGGGAGGAAAAAGAGAAATGAAAGAATTAAGAATTAACATTTTAGAAAGAATTGAGGCACGGGAGCAGCAGAAGCAGTGGCCTCCTGAGGGTCCTGGATCTAGGGACAGGTAAAAAACAACAAATCAGTGTCCCCTGTGGGGCTTCCCTGCCGAGCACTCCCTGACTGGAGAGGGAGGCCAGAGGCAAATGACACAGCCTTGGTGAACAGCCGGAATTTCTTTGTAGGATGAAGAAAAGTGTGTGGAAAGTTCTTTCCCGACGGTCATGGGAAAATGAATGTTGGGGCTTTAGGAGGCTACTGTAGAGGCCCCCAGAAGAGGTGACTTCCCTTTATTAGAGGGTCCCCTATGCCATTCTGCTTCAACTGTTACTTTAAACTTGGAAGAACTGCTTCCAGCCTTTTGATCCAAGAACACCCCAAGAGTCCAGAACCACCTTGGCTACCTCTGCTTCCCCCTCAGTCTCTCAGAGGCTGGCTTGCGGAGACCTCAGTTCCCATTTCCCATACCTCACTCACCTCCAGAACTGCCTGTCACCAGTGAGGGTGGAGTGTCCTCCCTGGACTGCTCCACGTGCTCCTCCCTGTGGCTACTGGGAGGTACTGCGAGGTTCTCCCTACAGCGTGGAACGGGATGAACATCATCCTGTGGCCACAGTTCCAGTGAGGCGGCAGGGTTGGCGGGGCTGAAGATTGGATCAGTTGGGGCTAGGTTTCTTTTGTTAAACTATTTGAGGCCCTCTGTACCTACTGGATTTGGGGCAGTAGCCAAGGAAGGCAGGGGTCATGCCTTCCAGGATCTTGCAGTTGGAGAGGGAGTCACTTAGACTGGAGGGTGCTCCTGCCCTCCGTTTACTTCCTATTTCCCTGCAGGAATATCAGGGGAGCACAACAGGGTGCAGTGTACCAGCCGGATGGGATTCAGAGACTCTAACTGCAGACCCTCCAGCCCTGGCCAAGGGCTCCTCAGCTGGTTATAACCCTGAGCTCAGCATGTGCACAAAGCCTCTGCCTGTTCCACTGGTTCATCAGTGAAGTAGTTCTCTGCCTCCTTCCCTCTCTCCTGAAAATTCAGATTAGCTGTACATAAGATAAATGGCTTTGACCCATCCCTCCCCCCAAATTCGTAGACACATCAACCCAACTGCTCCCCTTCATCCACACTCGAATGTTGTTAGGGTTTAAATATGAAGTATCCCTCCACCAAATCCATGCAGAGGAGTTGACTCCCAATGCAGCAGTATTCAAAGTTGAAACCTAGAGCGGTAATTGAATCATAAGGGCACTGACCTCACTGATGTGTTCATAATTGAATGGCCTACTAAGAGGTGAGGCCTCATTGCTGTTGAAAGGTATATGTTGTCTCCTGGGGGACATGAGGTGAGCTCCTTTGCTTCGCCCATGCTCCCAACCATGATGTACTGCCCCACCACAGGCCCAGAAGCAACAGGGCCAGGTGACTATGAACTAAAACCTCTGAAACCACGAGCCAGAATAAACCCTCCTCTTTTAAGTCATTTTTTTCCTCAGGTATTTTGTCAGAGCAACAAAAATCTGAGTAGCACCAGTATATTTGCATCTCCAGGCATATTCTTTACTAGCCCTCACTCCTACATCCTGTCCTCTCTCTGCCCCACCAGGACTGGTCTCACATTGAACAACTTTACTCCAGCCTCCTGATTTCAACAGCTGTACTATTGACCTTTCAGGGCCTTAAAACATCCATGACTACTTCACGTGCAATAAGCATGGTATCCAGATAGGTTGGGCAAAGGTGATTTTTTTTTACGCATAGAGAAACTGAGGCATGGCGAAATTAGCCAGCTGCTTCTTGTCAGGTCAGGACTAAAAAATCTAGGTCTTCTTTCTCTCTGCCTACCACACATGCTTGATACCATTCTCAGGAGGAAGACGGATTATCTGCCCCTAAATCATTCTTCCACCCAGGCCATCAGTCTAACATTAATACAATTTGTAAAAACCTTTGGGAACCAGGATTCATGTTTTATTTCCACAGAGAAACTCAAAAATAAGCTGTATTTTTTTTTTTTTTTCCTTCTGGAAAAATGTCAGGTCACAAAATAGAGTAGGTGAGGAAAATGGCTGCTTATTCCGGTGAAGCTGGTCATCACCAAGACACCACAGCAGAGTGGGAAGAAGCAAGGAGCAGATGAACCGGGTCCCCACCCCAGCACACGTGGCTGTCAGCACCCGGGAGGGTGGCATGGCTGGGAAGGCTGGGGGAAGTGAGGCTGGGCCGTTTGAAGACTGGCTGGTGTTCGGGAGGTCTCAGTATCGGCCAAAAATAATTTTCTAGAAAAAAAATGAGAAGATTAAATGATGGCGTGCAAGCTCTCCTAAATCAACTGCCACTGGAGGGCCTTTCGTCAAGTTTCCAGGCTCCAGCAGCTTGTCTGCTGTCCTGCCTGGTCCAGCTTCAGTTCCCCTCACTTTTTCCTCTACCTAAAACCGTCTTTATGGTTCCACCAAGTTAATCTCTAACTGCTTTGCCTCTGGAGCCGCACTTCATCCTGTATCCCCAAAGATTCTCCTCTTTACAGTTCCCAGGGACAGTTCCTGTCCTTCCCCCAGCGCGCCATCCCCCCTGGTGTGCCCACGTGGCTCCCTCTGTTTATTCCCCCCCCCCCCCCCCCCCGTTCAGCACTCAGGCTGCTTTCCATATGTCCTGGATCATTTTCTCGGGACTCTTCCTCCACACCCCGCAGTGGGATCTGCTCCTTCATCCCCACCACCAGCATGCGCCTAAAGGAAACCTCACTTTGTGGTGCTGCTGACCGAGGTCTGAGGAAATGCCAAGGTCCCGCCCCTGCTTGTGAGGGGACTCTGCCTCAGCTCCAGCTTGTGGGCTCCTGTCACTCTCTCTGACACTCACCTACCAAAACTTCAGCCAGTGCAGCAGACCAGGTTGTGCCCGGGAAGCCTGGAGGACAGGAAAAGGGCTGAGTGGATGTCACTGCCCCCTCCACCCACTCTGGCCTCAGGCCTCTTCTGTTTTGAGCCAGGTTTTCTCAGTCCCATACTCACCGAGGATGAAGCAGTGGCTACTCCCTGCTGAGAAAAGAAGAGAGGAAGTGATGTGCGGCTGTGGGGCCTTTCTGTGCCCTGACTTGATCTTAGGGTTCAGAAAGGGCCCCGTGTCTGGGACAGGCACAAGCAAGGATTATCACCAAGGCCCTTCAGTCCCCCTGTGCACTTTCAGTCTACGGATTTTTTTCCTAAGGATGTATCCAGGATGACATTTAACATGGCCCCTGAGCACACAGTGTCCCCAGGGAGTGGAAAGAGCTGAGGTGTCCCTTCTGCCTGCTGAGTGGGTAGAAATCGGCCACAGGCAGTGGCCAAGGGAACACCACCAGGCAGGGCTAATGGCCTCTGTACCTCCTTTCCCTCACCACTTCCTTCCCCATCTCTTTTTTTTTTTTTTTTTTTTTTTTTTTTTTTTTGGTTTTTCTCTGGTACCGGGAACCGAACTCACGACCTTGCACTTGCCAGGCAGGCGCTTTGCCGCTGAGCTAAATCCCCAGCTCCTCCTTCCCCATCTCTGCACAGAAAGTTGTGCCCCTTCTAGGGTGGGCGTTTTCTTGTTTTGAGAGGGAGAAATCCTTGGTCTAGCTGTGCTTTCCTAACCTAATTAGTACCCAACATACTCATTTCCTGCCATTATAGCATTGCGTTTTTTGCAACTGCATAAAACAAATGTCTGGGGTATTATTTCCTTTTATTTCCTTTGAGGCATAATGCATTCTGTTTCCCACCAACCAAGAGCTCCTGGGCTAGCTTTCCCAAGAGGGTTGGTCTGCTTTCCTCTCCCCTGCTCACTCCCCAAAAAGGGTCAGCAGAGAAAAGACCAGCTGCCTGTGCATGGTGGGATGTGATTTGCCAGAACCGTGCTCCTCTCTGGGAGGCTCTTGCTTCCTGGTTTTCTCTGTTGCTCTGAGGCCGCTCCCTGAGAGGGTAGCTTGGAGGAGTGCTGATCCCTGCCCCCTTTCCAGACCGCTCACAGGGCACAAGTCTCCCTCCAAAGGGATGCAGCGGCCTGGCTTTCAGCGTGAGCAGGGGGGGCCCTGCAGTGAACACCTCCCTCCACCTCTCTTCTGCCGGCCTGGCCCGTGGGAGAACTAGGCATTGTAAGCCTCACCTTGGGGGTGTTCCTCACTGAGTGCTGCCCGCTGGGCACAGTGGGATACGCCTGCTGGTTGTTATAGTAGTTCTGTGGGGGTGGAAGAGAGAGAAGCATTGAAGGCATGTGGCTCTGGAATGAACACCCCGCCTCCCTTTCCCGACTGGACATGGTAACCCCTGCCTTCCCCTCTTCCAAATCAGATTTGGAAGATTTTCCCAGCCACAGGAGCCCACCCCTCACCGTTCTTAACTGTCTAAGCCCAAAGGGCCTGGCACCTCTCCCAGCTCTCCAAGGAGACTCGGGAGGTAAGGCAGGAGGCCAGGGGGAGAGGGGGAGTCTAGATCAGGCATCAGTGCTGGAGAGCCTGCCTTGGGAGTCACACCTGCCACCACTTGCCTCCCTGCGTCAGGCTGAGAAAACCACCGGATGCGGAGTAAAAGAGAACTTCAGATTGGCCACACCCAGGGCTGAGAGGGACCCAGGACCTTCCAGGAGAGAGTGAGAGCAAAGAGACCCACCTGAGTAGCGACGTCCGCCCTCTTCTGCATCGATGGCATGTCTACACCCTGAGAGGGAAAAAGGAGCCACAGTGGGCATCTCCATGGCCCTGCGGGCCTTGCCAGACTTCTGGAATGCCAGCATCCTGCTGCCTGAGCTCTGCCCGCCTCTTAAAGTGCCAGCATCTCACCCATCCCACCCCTCTAATGGTCCATGGTAAGCACGGTGGCCTAGAGGAGACGATGGCCCAGATAGATGTAGGACACAGATTTCCACAGTCGAGGTGGGCGTGGTGGTGGAGAAGCTCGTTGAGCAACACCAGCCCAACCTGTGCACCTGGCATGCTGGCAGCCTTGGCCAGAGACGCAATAGAATGACGGATGGGTAGAACTCACAGAGGCTGCTCTGGGGCAGCCCAGGCCCCTCAGCCTAGCCTGCCTTTGCCTACACCAAACCTGCTCCTCACAAGCCCTAAAACCCTGCACATAGTTGCTCCTCTCTAGGGTCCTTGCAAGGACAGGCAAATTAGGATGGGCATTAGCTCCCAGCCAAAGAAGGGAAGGAAAGGGGACAAATACAAGGAAGCAGAGGGAGGACTGTATTCCCTTGCCCACAAGGCCACGGGCAGCTCTAAGCCCTGGGAGGGAGTTCCGTTCCCATCACCATCCCTTTTCTGCTAGGACCCCGCCATTCACACCTTCCCTCTCACAGTGCAGGGGTCAAGTCCTGCCTGACTTAACTCTGCCTTGTCCACACCTGACACTGAGCCTTAACCCCACTCTCAGCCCTGACCCTGAGATTACAAACTGCCTGTCGGTCAACCTTCAGATAGTTTTTGTTTGGTCTGACTTTTTAAAAAGTATTAAAATAGTTACCGACCAATTAAAACTCAGATTTCTAGCTTTTCTTGAAAAATCAAACAAACACAACTACAAAGGTCCTATATGTGTGCATCATGACACTAAGAGAAGGCCTTAACTCCCCACCTGCCCAGCCGCCCAAGCCTGGCCCAGGCAGTGCCCAAAGGTTCTGCTTCCCAGAGGCCAGTGGCTGTGCAGAGCAAGTTGTAGTCTTTTACAGGACCTGGGGCCCTACTCATCCTTCCCAAGAGCCAGATATTCAGACCCCCAGACACCCCTCCCCCAACATCCTGTCCTCTCTTCCCTCAGCTTCCCCTTCAGTGCCCCTTTTCCAGCATCTGTAAGTTGATGCCAGGCCCAGGTCCCTTGCTTTGTCCCCCCTCCTAGTCCCCCTCTACCTGCTCACCCTGTGTACCACCCAGCTGTGGGTCCCCCCTAGCCAGGCCACGCCCAGCAGGGACAGCAGCAGAGCAAAGACCGCTTCATGATTTTATGCCTGTGGAGCCCAAGGCAGGAGCCCTGGGCTTTTATTGGAAGGAGGCCCTCCCACCCGTACCCTCCTCCATGACTCATAGCTTCTCTGTCCAGTCCACTCCCACTCCATTTTGCATAAAGCAGCAGAATGGTGGAGAGGGAGTGAGGGCAAGAAGCCAGGACAGCAGCCTCAACAAGTCACCTGGTAATGGACCGACCCAAGTCCCCAGCTGTTTCCTCAACCGAGGAAATGAGTTCTGCACCTCACTCCTTACCTCAGTAATTTCTTTCCAGTTAAAGAAAGGAGTTTTTCGTTTGAAATCCTGGAGGGAGAGAGAGAAAAGAGCGGCAGGGGAGCCAGGACTCAGGGTGGGAAGCGGCCACCTACTGTATGAGGGCTTCTGGGCTGCTGTGGGAAAGGACTTAAGAGAGCAGTGGGATTTGGAGGTTCCATGGAGATAAGCAACGAGAGGCTGAGGGTGTGTGGGTTTGACGTGGCACTGGTGCTAAAACTGAGGTAACTCCGAGATGAATGCAGTTATTATTCATCACAAACACATACAAACAAAATAAAAAGATTGGAGTGAGATGACCCGCCTCAAAAATGAAAAGGGCAATTTGGGGATGGGTCGGCTCATGTCAAGGGCAGCTGCCTTGGAGGAAGCATGTGGAGGGGCCTGATAACCAGGATCACCAATTCTTTGTAAAGCAGAAATTCTCCTACCTCCCAGAGTCTTCGGAAGTAGAGGAGGGCCCGGGTGTTAGGGGACAGGACATGGCCCTGTGGATGAAAAGTAGGTTAGCAAGGAACCCACCCCACTCACCTAAGCCCAGACTCCTGTTTCTCAGCCTTTACAATCTTACTGTGACTATGGTTGGAGGGCTGGGGGCTGCGGGGAACCAGGAGTCTCTCGGGACACCAGAAGCTATTTTGGAAACAGGGAGAGAGGCTAGATCTCTGAGCCACTAGCCAGCCCGCACGCCCAGCACACTGTACTGTCTTCGCTCCCGGTCCCACCCCCACCTGAGTACCACAGAACTGTAGCAAAGCATCCCCAGCCTCCCACCTTTTTAGTTGCCCATCCACCTCAGACCTCCAGCACATCACCCAAAGCTGTGGGGCTGTGACCACTCCTTCCATCCCCTGGGGCCAACAGCAGAGACAGAAAAAATAAAAGGAGCAGAGACCAGCACGTGGGGCAGCTGAGATTTATTTCAAGAGCATGGGACCAAATTTAGGGGTGAGGGACAAGATTAAGGGTGGGGGAAAGGTTCTTTAGGGAGGGAGTGGGATCTCCCATCCAGCTGGTAGCTCCTTGCCTGGAGGTCACGAGTTGCGAAAGCTCCTCTCGTCCTGGGCAAAGAAATAAGCTCTATGAGGAAGCTTAAGCAGTAGGGATTTGGGGAAGGCCCAAGCAGTAGAGCTTTGGGGGTGGGCCAAGGCATGGGGCATAGACCCCTGCTTTAAAAATCTGCAGGGACCTTGTAGTCCACCGCTGTCAGCTAGACACATCTGGATACCCTTGAGCTTGAGAAGCCCCTGCCTCACCAGAAGCGTTACGTGGAGTCCCTTCTCCTCACCCCTCCCTGGCTGAAGTCTTCAGCTCCCTCACCCCAAGTGTGAAGGAGAACAGAGCTCCACACCTCTCCTTCATCTCCGGACTGCCCATCGTTCTACAGGATCTGCCCCTCCAGGAAGGCCAACTGTGACTATTCCCTTCCCACCCCGCAAGATGGACAGAAATGCTTAGCTGTCTGTCCTGCTCTCTGGGAAGTGCCCATGCGTGGCCTGGCCTTTCCATCAGACTCTAAGTGCCCCAGGGTCCACAGCAAGGAGCCTTGCCCCTGTCAGAAGCAGACCTCCATAGAAGAGAATTTGTTTTGTTTGTTCAGTAGACCTGGGTCCTTTTGACCTCTCCCATCCCCATCATTCTCAGAGGTTACACTTTGCTTTTCCCAAAATTTGGGTCAGGCTGCCTGCCCATCTACCACCACCCGCTTCTCCCATAAAGACCACAGGGTTAAGAAAGGCAGGGATCCGCATCTTCATTCTCTCGCGTTAAGGAGCAGAGAAACGCAACTGCTCACCGAGGCCACTCTGGTGACAGGAATAGTTGATGGGCAGGGTGAGTGTAGTGTGGACAACAAGGACCCGCGTGCAAAAAGCAGCTGCCACTCAGCCCCGGTCTGTCATGCACTGCCCCATGAAAGGAGGGTCCAGGGTTGACAAAATTTTTAAGAGACCAGGAATCTAAACATTCATATCTCCTCCCTCTGCCTCTCCTTCTCCCTCTCCTTCTTCCTCTCCTTCTCCCTCTCCCTCTCCTTCTCCCTCTCCTTCTTTCTCTCCTTCTCCCTCTCCCTCTCCCTGTCCCTCTCCCTACTCCTGTCCTCTCCTGTCCTCTCCTGTCCTCTCCTGTCCTCTCCTGTCCTCTCCTGTCCTCTCCTGTCCTCTTCTCTTCTCTTCTCTTCTCTTCTCTTCTCTTCTCTTCTCTTCTCTTCTCTTCTCTTCTCTTCTCTCCCTCCCTCCCTCTCTCTCTCTCTTCTTTATCTCTCCCATACTGGGGTTTGAACCTAGAGCCTCTGCACATTATTTTGAGATAGGAGTCTTGCTATGTTGCCTGAATGATACTCAAACTTATAACCCTCCCGCCTTACTCCCTCAAGTGCTGGGATTACAAGCATGTGCCACCATGCCCAGCTAAAGTCTCTCACCTTTTATACTTTAGCAACTAATTCATATTCTTTTTTTTTTTTAAAGGAGGAGCTTAAATAAATCACAGCAGTAGGCCACGTTTCACAGTGTCTGCCTGGAGAAGTGGTTTGGATTGTCCATTTGCCTTCAGCCCTCCCTGACAACCCAGCCCCATCAACTCTGCTGTTCTGCTGTCAAATCAGGCTGGCCAAGGACTCCTCTGTGAGAAGGAGGGGTGGGCAGGGCAGAAAGGGAGAGGGGTTCTCTGGTCCAGGTGTCTCCTAAGATTACATGTGTGCACAGGGCCCAGAGTGATGCCTGTCACCCATCAGGCACTCATCAGCTGTTCAGGTCCTTTTCTCTTCTTCCCCAGAGTGTGTCAGTCCTCATGGGGCCTTTTAGCTCCACCTAACACTGCAATCAGTCTATCCCCTAGGACAGTGGTGGTGAACCTATGGCACTTATGCCACAGCAGGCTGTTTGTGCCATTAAAGCTCTAAAAGGTTCACAATCACTGCCTTAAGTCAGGCTGTCCCCTTAACCTTCCAGATCCTAAGAGGAAACTGATATTCTGCACCAGCACAGACGTATATGTTGAGGCATTAAAGAGACTCATCCCCTGCACGCATCCCCAGCTCTCAGTTGACCCCAAATTCTCTATGCTCTTCAAGTCACAGTTTGTACGTTGGTTTTGGTTTTAGTACTGGCCTAAACACCCTTTTTTGTACAAGGCCACTATTATTGTGCCCCTAGCTTACTAGCCAGAGGTATAGCTTCCTGGATTCCTCCCCCATTAAGACCAGGATTGCACAGCCTTTGGGAACTTACCTTGTTTAAGGCATCCCAGTTAATGAAACCCAGCTTGGATTTAAAATTCTGCAAAGAAAACATAAAGAATATCCATATCAGGCCATGATGTAATTGGCCCAGGGCCTCAGGCTGGGAGAGGGGCAGGGCTACTTCTCCCTGTCAGTACAGAAAGAGGATTTCGGCCTATGGAGCCAAGGGCCGGGGGCTGGTTTTCCAAAGGAGAGTGAACGGAGCTATCTTGCAGAACTCACCTTCCAGAAATTGTCAAAGTTGAAGACTCCAGGAGATGTCTCAGTGTCCTGAGGAACAGATGAGAAATGGGATGAATTTAAGAAACTACACTGTGAGCAAGAGGCACGGGGCAGGAGATGTGGGGAGATGTCAGGAGGCGGATGAAGGATGTTGGAGCCCACAGTCACAACCCAGGTGGAGTAACACCTCCACTCACCACAGAATTGAGCTCACTGACTACCTCACTTTCTTCACTGCCACTGTTGTCACTGGATCCTTGTCTCTGGTGGGGAAAAGGAGACTGATGTTCGAGACGGTTTCAACCTGTCCTATGTGCCCTGGCCCTCTCGTCTCTGCTGTTGCTCAAGCTCTTCTGCTCCTCTCCGTAATTCCACTTTCTCTCTTTTACACAACGCTTAAAATTTCCACCTCAAAAATAATTCCCCAAACGCTTGCAGCCACATAGCCCTACCCTGTCCCTTGACTTTTATTTATATTTTTGCCTCCCCCTCCAAACACCACTGCTAATGGAAGTGGCTAGATGTGGTCCCACTGTGTGCACGGCACTGTCTGTGCCTTATTCTGCCATGGTCCTCTACAGATGACTTCACTTTGTAGATGAGGAGATTGGAACTCAGAGGGGTCCAGTAACTGACCTCAGTATCTGCCTTTGCATCTGTACTCTGTACCACCTCAGTCTAACTCTGACACAGAACGCCCTAAAGTAATTGTGGAAAGTGAGCCAGTCAGGTGTCATTGTCTCCGCTTTACCCAAAGAAAGGCAGACTCAGCGAGGTGAACTGACCTACCTGGAGATGCACAGGCGGCAAGGGACAAGCTGCCACTTGAACCCCCATCTTCTAACCCGGAGTTCAGCAACTTTCACTCCTCAACACTGACTCCTTAAGTATGTTTTTTTGCAGATAGTTCCTGGGCCATTTTTCTGTTGTTTTGTCTAGTCCCCCCGACCCACCCTTGCAAAGAAACTATGGCTCTGATGTCAACTGAAAGGAGGGAGAGAATGGATGAATGGAGGAGGGGACTAGAGATCCCACAGGGTCATTTTGTCTCCTGATGATCACCAGATGCCAATTCAGAGCAGCTTGCAAGAAGAAACTGGTATTTTTGTTTCTTCCCCCAAGCCCTTGGCTTGCTGCCCACACTCCACCATCCCTTCTGCTAATGCCACCCCAGCTACCCCCTGGGCTTACCTGAGAGTTGCCCTGGGAGCTCCCAAGTCTACTGCTCTCTCTGCTTTCCTAGGGAGACAGAACATGGAGAAGTCAGTGGCAGGAAAGGACAGGATAGCAGGTTGCAGATGAGGAAGTTCAGAATCAGGGAACTGAGGCACAAGCGTGACAGAGGACATCCCAGGACTCCATCCTGCCTGGCAGGTCTTACTTCAACCTCCTCATGTGATGGACCGGCTTACTATGTGGACTTATGGTATTTATGGAGAATGTCACCATTCCTGTTTATATTTGTCTCTGCAAGCTGCCCAAAATCCAGCAGGAAGGGCTTTGCCACCAAAGCATCTGAATTTTCCCCTGGTTGGGAAGCAGATACAAACCAGACTGTTGATCTGAACTGACCAACCCGGAAGCCCCCAGCTGGGCTTATGGCTGCAATGGGCAGGAAATGGGAGCCAGCTGGCCAGTCAGCAGGAGCCAAGGTGGCCATGAGTAGACCAGTTAGTCTTCCCTTAAATCAGAGGTTAGCTCCTGCATCAGCACTTCCTCATTCCCAGAGGTACAGTTAGCTGCTCTGCCGTCAGCCTAAGTGCTCAGCTAGCATTGCTACTGGAGAGTGAACCTCCATCCCACTCACTATCAGCACAATCTCTACTTTCCAGGCCTATTATTCCCTTACCCTGATGTCCCCAGGACCACTGGGGTCCCTTTGTATTCTGCTGAAGCCCCAGGGGATAAGACAGTGAAACACAGACAGATCCCTGTTCTAGATCCTCAAGCCATCTTCAAAAATGTATGGATGGATTTCATATGATTCCTCTACAAATCCTAACAGAATTCTCTTTGAAAACTTGTCAAACTAATTTTGAAATTCATCTGGAAGGATAAAGGTCTGGGAATAGGTTTTTAAAAGGTGCTGGCAAAGACCAGTGGCAAGAATGTACTTATACTGGTGGATACTGACATACCCTGAGCCACTTCAAATAGAGTGACGTCCTATCTGTGCCACCATGGAGGGATCCATTTAGCAAAACAAAACTTGCAGAAGCTCCCCCCAGATCCTAAGGTAATTATAAGTGGCATGTGAAGTCAGTATTAGAAATTATTTAATATACAGGGCTGGAAATATCATTAAATATTTAGGGGAAAATACTAGTGATCCACCTTATAAGTTTTTAACTGGTTTTCCCAAAATAAAGGAGCACCCAGCTCTGATCCAAAGTGTAGAATAATTATGCTTAGATCAAAAAGTAGGACTAGACCAAACACAGCAAAATAAAGTCCAGCTGGATTAAAGAGGTATGTTTTTAAAAATGAAATTATATAAGTATTTGTAATACCTGAAGAGAATAAAGACATGCACAGCAATACACCAAGAACAGAAAACACAGAGGAAAAAGACTGATAATTTTTTAGGGGGTGGAATCATTTGTTTATTTTTTGAGACAGGGTCTCACTATGCAGTTCAGGCTGGCCTCAGACTCATTAGGTAGCCCCTGCTGGCCTCAAACTTGTGGCAGTCCTCATCCCCCGACCTCCTGAGTGTTGGGATTACAGGCGTGGCGATTGGTAGTTTTGATTTCTTATGTACCTAAGACTTGAAATTCTAGAAACAAGCTAGATACAAACTGGGAGCGTGTTTCTTAACATTCTGGTGGCCACCAGTGCCCAGCCCAGCAGCCATAGCCTCCCCCGTTTGCTGGTGAGAAATGCAGAATCTCAGCCCCACCCCAGACCTGTTGAATCAGAACTTGCCTTTGCACAAGACGTCTAGGTGTGGACAGGAGTGTCACACTTGCTCTGTCAGCACCACAAGGACTGACACCCAATGCCCAGAATTCCAGAATAACTGGGAGGAAATAGACTTTCCAAAACACTTCTCTGCCGGAGTCGTGAGTTCTGTCCATGGCCTGGGCTGGGACATTTGAAATGACTACATTTCTAAAAGCACTGATTTACATAGGATTCTTCCCGGCCCTGTCTGCAGTACACAGTGAGCCATCACATGGGAATTTCCAATCCAGTATTACTCTGGAGACTACTTTTAGGAGTACACATTTGATTTCTTCCACCTAAATTGTCAGATCTGCTACCTCCATGGATTGACTGTAACTGATTATCAGGAATGGAGCTGAGCAGTGTGGACTTCTGAGAATGGGGACAGCCCCAGTCATAAATAGGCAGTTTGGTTCTCACCTCACCCCTAGATCCTCCAGCTATGCGGGCTTCATTTCCTGGGTTGTCACACTGCAGAAAAGAGATAGGGAAGACTCATTCAGTCCCCTCCTGAGCACCCATGCCAGCCCCCAAAGCGCTCCTCCATGGCAGTAATCCTCCCCTTCTCAGTGGGCCCCTAGGCCCCGCCTCGAGGGCTGACCCCTCTGCATTTGCTTCCCATAACTAGAAGGAAATCTGGGCCCCTGGGGGCTCCCCAGCCACTGACCTCAGGTCTGTTTCCACCACCACTTGTATCTCGGCTGCCTGTATCAGACCCAGTTCCCTTTGAGGAAAAGAAAGCGAGAGTTCATATGTCATCTTAAAGGACTTGCAAATGGACCCTGTCTTTGCTAGATCATAGTAAGCAGAAGGGACTCTTAGGGACCTTCTTACCTTGGAGACTGAAAAGCTTTGATCAAAATCCCTAGAAGTTTCTATGCCCTGGATGGGGGTAAGAGGGTAGTATAAGGAGCAGCAACTAAGGAAGCTCATTCTTTGGACTTGTCATGATCCCTCACTTCCTGTGGCCAGACAACATTCCCAGGCCCCAAGGAGCTCATGGGGTACCTGCCTCTAGCACCCCTCTCTTGGAGCTCTCTTCTAAAGCAGCCCCCCACCTCCTCACCCATAACGCAGGGTCCCTGTGGGTACCCCGTAGTCATTAGTGTCATCTATACCTCGGCTCTGTAAATGTCCTCTAGTTTCTGTGCATGCAATCCTGACCTCATTCTCCTGGAGCCTTCCCAAATGAATGTCCCTATTTTTCTGTGCCCATCCCTCTTCTTCCCTCCATCACCCCCAGTTCTACCCACACCTTCCAGGTGGGCAAGGAAGAGAAGTTGGAAGGAGACAGAACTTGCCCACCATGATGGAGCAAAAGTTTAGGGAGCAGAGCAGGCAGACGCAGGCAGGACAGCTCTTGTGGAAACCCAATGTGCTTCTGTAAAAAGCCTTCCCTGGGTCTGGGAGGGTGGGGAGCAGAGATGGAGGGAGCCTCATGATGACAACTGCCAGTCATATCACCTGCTCCAAGGCTGCAGCAGCTTCCAGGGAACGCCTAGAGCCTGTCTGCTATGCAGGGACCACCAGGACCCTCACCCATCCCTGCCTTCACCCAAGGAGCAGAACTTACATGGCTGGACCCGGAACTGCTGCCACCCTGGCCACCACTGCTGCCACCCTGGCCACCACTGCTGCCACTGTGGCCACTGCTGCCACTGTGGCCACTGCTGCTGCCACTGTGGCCACCGCTGCTGCCACCATGGCCACTGCTGCTGCCACCATGGCCACTGCTGCTACCACTGCTACTGCTGTGGCTGCTGCTTTCCTGAGAAGCAGAACGGAGTGAGGATGAGGATGAGAGACCAGGACTATGTCTGTCCTCCCCTAGCTCTCCTGCTGGGGCGTGTTCTCCCCAGCCTAAGAAGAGCAGTGTCCCATTCTCCCCGGTCCAGATCACAGGCTGCTCTCCTCTTACCCTGGAGCCTCCGGAGCTTCCATCAGAGCTGGTAGGTGGGGCGTTGGTGCACTGTGGAGAAGAGGGCAGCAGTGGGTTTAGAGATGTCTATCAAAGCCGTCTCCACAAGCCTCTCCCCTTCCTTTCCCCTCCTCCCCTCTCATTTCCCAGCTTCCCACCACACCCATCTCTTCCCAGCCTCCTCTTCCTCTTGCCGCAGTCCCTCTTTCTTTCCCGTTTGTCTCTTCCCTACTTTCTGTCATATGCATTCAGACAACTACTCTGTGCCCCAGATTCTGGCTCTTACCCCTGAATTCTGGCTGCCACCTCTCACTGAACCATAGCCAGGCTGGGCCACAAACCCCTGCAGGGAGAGTGAGACTCAGTGTGGGATCTGGAAGGACCGGGGAGGTGTGAAAAGCTGGCAGGGGCAGGTATTAGGGCACCATGTCTACTTTACCTGAGCAGTGGTCTCAAAGTTGGGGTACCCTCCATGGCCTCCCTGCCCCAAGGAGCCTCCCAAGGAGTTGGTTCCAAAGCTGCCTCCTGAGCCTCCAAGGTTTCCATAGCCTGAGGGAGACCCTGGACCTCCAAAATTTCCCTGGCCCTGGCCTCCATAGCTACCATAAGAGTCAAACATGCCGTGTCCTCCAGATGTTCCCTGCAAGGACAACACACCTGCACTTAGTCTAACTGCCATGATATTTGACTGAGCTGCCCCATAGCTTCCCATTTCCACACCTGGCTTCCTAGCCACTTACCCAAGAAGAGGGGTTGTGGGCAGCATTCACTCCATGTCGAATGTTGTCCTCCGCCTGTCTGCCAGCCTCATTCCCTGTGTTTTCAAGACCATGGGCTGCTTCCCCAAGCCTATTGCCGAGTGTATCTCCTCTGGCCTCTCTGGATGAAGAGCTGCCTTCTCCTTTGTCCCCTTGGTCAATAGCATCCTTGATTCCAGAGCTGACTGCCTCTTTAGCTCCTTCACCAACGGCATTCCCAATGGTACCACCCATCTCTTGTCCAGCTCCTGTCCCAGAGCCCTGCAGTGGACCAGCTGCCCCACTGCCCAGGCACAGGGCCAGCAGGAGGCTGGCCAAAGATACCCGCAGCTTCATGTCTGCCTAGCTCCCTCTCTCCGCAGTCCTCTTCTCGCTTCAGTCTGCTTCTTGTGACCTTTTCTCTCCCTCTGATCTGTGGGCCCTCCTGCCTTCTCCCTCTACCTTCTTATTCTGCCTTCTACGTCTACAGCCTCTCTCTCTCTTCCTTTCCCAGATGCCCCTGCCTTCCCAGAGTCCTTCTCCCCGTCACTACTCCTTATACTGTAGGTTGGGAGAAGGTGACAGGGCTGGGTAGCCCAGGGTCCCTCCCCCAGTGACTCAGGGCCCAGCTACGATAGGGTAATGAGCTGTAATTGTGAGCCTGTGTCGAAACAGAGAAGGAGCCATGCATCACAGAGGGAGGGAGAACTGGGATGAGATGGACACAGAAGTGTTCTAGTTGCCCAACCCCAGGAATTTGGGGCGCAGGGTGGGGATGGGGCACATGAGGAGATAGGTGTTAGTGTCTCCTGGAGGCGGTGGGGTGAGAGGACTTCGGAGAGAGGCATTGCAGGCAGGACCCTAGCAGCGCAGCAGGAAAAGGAGACCCCATTGGGCAGGACCAGCCCTAGACCTCAGTGTAAGCCAACCTGAGTTGGGGGCATAGGATGGGAAGCAGGTGCCCCCTTGAGGCCCTTCGCAGTTTCAGTCGGCCTCAGAGCTCTCATCTCTCTCCTTCCCACCCTGTCACCTAGAGGTGACTGCCCTCGCACCTTCCAGCCTACAGAGAGACGCTGGGAGCCGAGGGGCTGCATCTCAGGTCCTGCAGCTCAGGGCACAGCCCTCCGTGGGGGCCCCAGGCATCAGGGAAAGAATGGCAAGGCCTTGATAGTGGCCGTCAGTGTGTTTCACTTAGCACCCATCTGCTCGGGGATCAGAGCAGGGAGCTGGGCGGGCCAGCCACCCGCAGGGAAGAGTGGGAGGGAAAGACCAGGGAGGGCACTGACCCAGACTGCATCCTGTTTACCTGGCCCTGGAGGGGCACTATGCCTGTGTGAGCTCATGGCACTCATGAGGGAGAGATTGCAGCTCCTCACTGCGCCCCCTCCCCACTTCCCCAGGGCCCAGGCAGTCCTGGCAAGGGAGAAGGGGTCAGCTCAATGTCAGGAGCCGTCAGTCAGCACCACGGTCCCAGCTCTGAAGGAACTTGGACATCCTCCCTTGGCCTTATCCCTGCCTAGCAAGTGTGACTGCTTCTTTATTCTCAGAGGCCCCAGGTCCTCCCACTTGGCACTGCCTTGAATCACTGGGACTCATCTCTTGTTTAGGAGGGGCTGGTTTCCATCTGTCTTTCTCAATGTCTTTCAGTCAGTCTCTCCCTCTCTCTCCACCCCAACACCCGCACCCAAACTTGTAACATCCAACACTTCTTAGCATGTAAACACCATTCCTGGCCGTCTTTGGCTTCCACCTCCATGTTGTTCCGTCACTGGCTCTTTGATGATGATGATAATGATGGTGATAATAATAACAATAAGAAGAACTGCAGCTCCAGCTTATCAAGGCGTTTTTGTCATTCTAGTGTCTCCTAGCAGCCCCTGCTTGTCAAAGTCCCTTAACTTCTCTCCTCATGGAGCTGATTTGGGTTTTGCTCTGAAGTCCCGGGTGAGGAGAGAGGGTGCAGGAGTAAATCTAGGGCCCTCGGGGTTAGTGCTGGAGATCCCAGCCCCTGAGCTCGCTGCTTCCTTCTACTGGAGGCCAGAGTCATGGGCAGAGGACTCGCTGACTCAAGACTCCTTCCCAGACTCCCGCCCCCACGTCCATCTTCGTGGTGTTGTATATCTGCTCTCACCCTTTTCCGCTAACACTTCTCTTAAGACCAGCCTACTTTCTGACTTAAGTATATTTTAAGAGAATGCATTTTATTACTAACATAAATGGAAAGCCAGGATCATTAGTCCATAGATAGAAAGTGCCAGAAAAACAGGTACAAACAATGACATTGCATTATAACTGGCTACAGTTCCTAGGAACACCAGCCCAGAAAGTAAGTCTTTCTCTTTAACCTAATCTGAAAGCTTAGAAGAAAACTGACAAGAAAGGACATTTCTCACTATGATTCAGCTACTCAAAGCCATATCCACAAACTATTGAAGCTCTCCCAAACAACCATGTCCTACTTTCTGGGATAAACTTCCCCCAGGCATCCTGGGCCTGAGGATCCACCTCAGGTCAGTATTACAGCACATTTATTAAGAATGTGTTGTGAATCAAATGGAATGTCCTATGCTTTCCTATTTATGACCTCAATTCACCTTCACTGTCAAGTCAATATTATTCCCCTTTTACAGATAAGGTAACTGAGGTCCAGAGTGGTTGAACATCACACACAAGACCATATATGAAAAGATTATGGGAAAGTAGAGTGGGTCAAAATGTGACCCAGATCTGTCTGATATCAAACAGCTTCTCTAACATCTCCATTCCTTTCTTTTTTACCTAACAGCACCTGACTCTGACATGCCTGGGTCATGTCTAAAACCTCCTTGTTCCAACTTTTCTCTCTTAAGTGACTACTTCGTTCATTCAACAAAACTTTATGGAGATGTCAATCCACGCCACACCTCCCCTAGGCACTAGAATGCAACGTGAGAACAAGACCTGCCTTTTTCTCCTTCGGAGCTCACTGTCAAGGTGGGAGAAGTTGACAATAAAGTTTTCAGGTAGTTATACTAACTATGAAGAAAAACACAGGGAGAGAAGGGGATAGAGGAGGAGAAAAAGCAGGTATTCTAAATATGGTAGTCAGGAAGGGCTCTTTGAGGTGTGACCAATGAACAGAGACGTAAGAAGAAAAGAGCAAGCCGTGAGGGTATCTGGGGATAGAGTATTCCTAGGACAGACATCAGTGGTGCAAAGGCCCTCAGGCAGGAGCCTACTTACAGCGAGAACCATTAAGGTAGTGGGGAGATGTGAGGAGATGAAGGAGATCAGAGAGATAAAGGATCCAGATGCTGGGGCTTGGAGGGCCACTGCAAGTACTTTGACTTGTTTCTTTATTAGCCTAGGTTTGCAGTACATAATGTTTATACAAATATAAAGGAGCAGGTACATGTACTTAACATATCTTAATTATTTTTATTCCCCTTCCTCTGTCCTCCCTGTCCCCTCCCTGGATCCCCTTCCCTTTTGTAAAAGAACTATCTCCCTGTTACCTATGACCCTATCGTTTCCATGATTTAAACGTTGGGTTTCTCATATAAGAGAAAGTATGTAATATTTAAACCTGTGTGTCTGACTTATTTCACTTAAAATTATGGTCTTAAGGTGCATCCATTTGCCTGCACATGACTCAAGTGTAGCCCTCTTTATAGCACAGTACTGCTCCATTGTGTGTAAATAATACATTTTCTTTATCCATTTATCTGGACTTATGGACTGCTTCCGAGACTTATCTATTATGAGTTGTGCTACTGTAAACATGGCTATTAATAGATCACTGGTATGGTGTCATTAACTCCTTTAAGAAGATATCTGTAAGAGAAATAGCTGGGTTGAATGGAATTTCTAGTTTTAGGTTTTTTGGGGAATCAGCATACTGATTTCTGTAGTGGTTGCACCAGTCTACATTACCACCAACAATGTAGAAGGGCAACTCTTCCCCCACAGCCTAGCCAGCATTTGCTATTATTTGATTTTTTGATGATAGTCATTCTCTCTGGAGTAAGGTGGAATCTCAATGTTGTTTTAATTTTCATTTCTCTAATGGCCAGAGATAAGCATTTTTTCATACATTTATTAGTCCTTTGTACTTCTGAGAAATGTTTATTCATTTCAGTTGCCAATTTTTTGATTGGATCTTTTTTGGGGGGGTCTTGTTTTTTTCATAAATTCTAGATATTAATCCTCTGTTAGAAAAGTAACTAGCAAATTTTTTTTCCCATTCTGTAGGTATGTCTTTATTTTATTTATTGTATCCTTTGCTGTCCACATGCTGACCAATTAAATAAAAAAGAAAAATAATGGAGTTAAAAACAGAAAAATACAATGACAGAAATAAGTCAATACCTTTCGTAAATAACTCTCAGTGTAAATGGCCTCAACTCCCCAACTACAAGACACAGACTGGTAGACTGGATAAAAAACAAAACAGACAAACAAACAAATTCAAGCTGGGTGGTGTGGCTCACACCTATAATCTCAGTACTCAGGAGGCTGAGGCAGGAGAATCACCAAGAGTTCAAGGCCAGCATGAACTACGTAGTGAGACCCTGCCTCAAAAACACAAAACAATAAACTACCTCAACAATTTTCTTCATACAACAGACACACCTAATCCAAAACAAAATTCACAGACTAAAAATCAAGAGGCTGGAAAACAATTTTCTGTGCACCAGGACCCTGAGGTAGTAATTAAGCAGAGGTAGCATCTTATTCTCAGGCAAAATGAGTTTCAAGTTAAACTGAACAGAACAGGCAAAGAAGTTCACTACATATTAGTCATGGGAACAGTACAACAGGAAGAGATAACAATTTTAAATATATACGCACCACACACTGGCATGCCCAACTTCATAAAACACTAGTGGACATAAAAGATCAAATAAACACCAACACAATCATAGTAGGAGACCTCAATACCTCACTTTTACAAATAGATGATAAACTAAAAGAATTAACAAAGAAATATCAGAGCTGAACAATGTCTTCAAACCAATGGACTTAATAGGTATCTATCAAGTGTTCTACCCTACTACAATGGGTAGAACTTTTTCCAAAATAGACCACCTACTAGTTCATAAAGCCTGTTTAAAAAAATACAAAAGAATTGAAATTATTTCATATACACCATCTGATTATAGTACCCTGAGACAAGAAATCAATTGCAAAAGAAACCACAGAAATTTTACAGACACCTGGACATTAAATAATAGTGGGTCACAGAGGAAATGAAGGAAGAAATTGAACAGTTCCTAGAATCAAATGATAATGTCAGTACAAAATACCAGAAAATATAGGACACAATGAAAGCAGTCCTATGAGGGAGGTTCTAAAGAAACAAGAATAGTCCAAACTCCAACCCAGTACAAGGAAGGAAATCGTAAAGACCAAGGTGGAAAGTAATGAAATTGAGACCAAACAAAAACAATACAGCTGAGAGTGGTGGTGGATCGTTGCAAGTTTGAGGCCAGCCTGGGCTACAAAGTGAGTTCAAGGCCAGCCTGAACTGCGTAATGATCTAAATTGCGTAGTGAGACTCTGTCTCAAAAAGACAAAACACACACACACACACACACACACACACACACACACGCACACACACACACAAAGAATCCGTGAACTAAAGAGCTGCTTCTTTGAATGAATACTTTGACTTTTGAGGCAGGTGCTAACAGAGTTCCTCTAGGATACAAAACGAGGAGGTTGGAGGAATACAGAGACCAAGAAGGAAACTTCAAGGAGAGAATGGAGATTGGATTCTGAGTGTCATGAGAAGATAAGGCCTTGAACCTCACTTATGTTTCTGTTCTCCTTATGGGCTCAAACCGGCACCAGCAGGCTCACAGTATTCACAGTGCTTCTTCTGGAGGCTAAGCTCAAGGTCAGCTTCACCATTTCCTAGTGTAATCTTCACCCACCTGTGCAACAGTTTCCTTGTCTGTAAAGACAGGGGAATGTGAAGATTACCGGATTAGTACGTATGTGTGGAGAGCTCAGGGAAGCGCTTGGTACCCAGAAGTAGGCAATGTGTGCTCCTGGCAGTGCTGGGTGTGTTGATACTGTCGGAGTGCTTCCTTGGCAGTCATTTAACTTTGACACACACACGCGTGCACATGTCCTGAAAAGGCCAAATGCAGAGACCTATTTTTAAAGAGGATCAGTTCTAGAGGAACCCTTTTCCCTTGCTGAGGGTCACAGGTCAGCCAGCCACCTCACCAGCGGAGATTACTATCAGGAAGTACTCTCTCATAAGCTCTGCCACCACAGCTCACTAGCTAGGTGGCCTCAGGCAACTCTCCCTTCTCTGAGCCTCAGCGCCATCATCTGTGAGGGGTAATCATGATACCTACCTCACAGGGTAGTTGTGAGAATGGATGAATCATGTGTGTAAGTGCTTAGCACAGATTCAGTAAGCGCCCAATAAAAGGTAGCTGTGAGAGTCCCACCCAAACTCCTCTCCCTGTTCTTCCACATCTGCAGAAACTGGTCCTTCTTCTCTGCTGCTCCCTGGCCTTGCTCCACCCTTCTCAGCAAAGCAGTCCACTTCTTGTTCACCCTTATTCCATTGCCTTTCCCAAGGCTTCCCAAGCCAGCTGCTCAAATACCAGACATTTTTGCCTGGCCTTGACCCCACCACCCTTGAACCTCTTAGTCTAGTGAGGGGAATGAGTGTTAAACAAATAATTTTCATAATATGATTGTAAACTGTCATAAGCAATATGAAGAACAAGATTAGGGTGCCGTGAGAGATAATGACAATTAAGATGGCCTTTCAGGCTGAAGAGTCAAAGTAGCAATGACCTTAAGGGGAAGAAGGAGCCAGTCTTGGGGACAGAGAGCCCTGGGGGACAGAAACTTTCTTAGCAGCAGGGACAGCAGAAAGAGCCTACAAGCAAGGAGTGCATCCTGGTATTTCCTTTACCCTTCAAAACAAGCTCAAAGCCTTGCTTTTCCAGAAGCTTCCCAGAAGTGATCCCCATGACCACCACCACCACACATATGCATACACATACACAAGCATAATGAATTATCTCATATGTCTTTGGTACTTTGAGGTTCTAACTCCACTCCAAGCAAACCAGCAAGAAGATGTACATATAAATGAAGTCAGTTAAAGTTTTTACTTGATAAAAGCACACGCTGTCTTCAATATTGCCTTTGCAAAAGCAGGCACTGTGGGATTCCTTCAAGTAGAGGCTCCTTCAGTGTATAGGAACCAGAGTCCAGGAGAGAACAGACCCCGAGCAAATGTCTGCTGTGCGTGACTTGTTCTGTTTAGTAAAGTATGGCACATAGACGTCTGCAGTTTACTTTGAAAGGCATCTGAAATGTACTGATAGGTGGCTAGATGTATAGATGTGTGATCAAGCCAGTGTAATAAAATGCTCATGGTAGATTCTAAGTGGTAAGAATGCGAGTGTCCACTGTCAAACTCTTTGGAACTTTTGAAACATTTTCAAAATAAAATATCAAGAGCAGAAGGAAGGAACAGACATAATAAGATGATGGCATTCTACAAAATAAGGAAAAAGGCAGTGAATATAGTTTCAAAGACATCATGTTTATTGTAGAAATGCAGGTCCTTCCACTCCCTAGTATGTCCTTTAAGCTCTCTTATTGATGCATTGTTTTGTATTTGTTTTCATATTCTATTTACATGCCTGTCTCCCTGAATGGCCAAATTCCCCGAGGGCAAGAACACTGGCTCTTAGTTTTGGTCCCAGGATAGATGCAATTTCAGAGCTGGAAGCAGTGATTGCAGTCCATACTTGCAGATACCTCACCACCTTTATAGAGGAGGAAATTATGGCTCCCGGGGGAGGGAGGAATAAGCTGCCCCCAGGCATTTGTTTCTGGTGGGAATGCAGGACACCAGTGCCCTGCCAGTGCTTGGAAAGCCATAGAGAGATTCTGGAGACAAGTGTGAGAGACAGGACTACCAGACGCAGGACTGCAGCTTTCTCACAGCTTGTGTCCTTGCCCCACGGAGCCTCAGTTTCCTCCCCGAGACAATGGGGCTAGTAAGAGGACTTCTGCTTTTAAATCATGGGAGTCTTACGTGGTTACAAATGCCTTCACACAGTACTGGAGTCTGTTAAGTGTTCCGTACATAGTGGTTGCTCTCATGACTCCTCTGGGCTTTGAGCGATCCATGGATCTGAAAACCAGGCCTTCTGTGTCTCCACTGGGTCACTAGTAAAGAGGCCTCCCGCTGTCAGCAGTGTGTCTTCCTGCCTGAGCCTTCTGCCTTCCCTCCTCTTCCTCAAAGGCTCTCCCATGTGTCTCTGTCCACTCTCCTTATCCCTATGGTGCCAAACAGAATAGCGTTCGTGGCTCTCTGCCTCCCCTTACTGATCATGCAACCTTGGCCTCGTTTACCAGTCCTGCACGCCTCCACATGCCTCCCTATAAAATGAGGCCAGTAACAGTACCTCTTACCTAACTGAATGGTTAGGAGGGTTCAATTATGCCATGCATTTAAAGCACCCAGCACATTTTCATTACACAATAAAAACAAGCTACTATTGTTATTCTTTGGGTGCCACCCCCTGCACTAGAATGTTACCCCCTTTGTCCTCACCTAGGTGCCCTCCCTGGTGCCCTATCTCCCCACCACTGACCAACAGTGGCTTTTCCTGCATCGGTGCTCTTCCCAATGCTGAGCTCAAACTTTGCATACTAGCAAAGCATGGCTTGTCCCCATGAGCTGCCCTCTTTGAGCCGAAAAGCTTGAAGTATCCACCTCAATCCATCCTGTGCAGCAGACCCCAGCTCCTTTATCAAAGAACAAGAAGAGAAAATGCAAGCCCCTCCTACTACCCCACCCTTCCTCACAGAGCACAGTGGACCACAGTGAGAGGAGACAGCAGGTCACATTTATTCACAAATCTCAGTACAGCCTCCTTAAGGGACTCCAGGAACCTCTCCCCCACCCCCAGCTCCTCAGGGCATTTCGGCGGGTGTGACAACAGGAACGTTAGTGTGCCAGGCCATCAGTTCAGGGCATGATGTTGGTGATGCTCTGGAAGAGAGGAGAGAGGGAATAAATGTAGGGCGCCAACCATCAGGCACCCTGGACCTGGACCTGCACCCCACTTTCAAGAAGTAAGAAGAAGACTTGGAACTAGCTTCAGGATGGTGGCGCCTCATTTGGAGAGAATAAGGAGTCAGTCCTCTCAACTAGAGAGGCTGGGGTCTCTGTAAAAAGCAAGGAACCCTGTCCATTTTGCCTCTGAAGACCCCCTGCCGCCCCTGCAGCCTGGGCTAGAATGGGACTGTCACACGCCCTCAGCCCTGAGTCCCCATCTCAGGCAGTAGATACACTAAGTACGAAGACAGAAACAGGACTTTGGGCCTAGAGAAGAGCCAGGGGTCCCAGGAACCTCACCCTCAACCAGGGAAGAAGAGCTCTGAGTGCCCACTGCCCAGCACGCTGACGCAAGGCAACAGGCGTGGGGTTACAGAGCTGTTTCCACAAGGGCGGAGAGGGAAGCCAGCCAGCTACTGGGAATCCAAGGAGAGATGGCAGGCGCCGTGAGGTTGTGTGGAGGGATGGTTCAACAGTCCCTCCCTCTCTGGCTCCCAGACGCTAAAGTGCCCCGGAGGTTGTTTTCACCAGCTGTGTTTGCCTCAGTGGGAATGGAGTGAACCCAAGAGCTGAAAGCCAGAGCAGGTGATGAAGGGGAGGAGCCAGCCAGGAGAACAGGTTGCATGTCTCTACAGAGACTGAGTCTGCCCACAGAGAAGCTGTCCCCAAACAAGCCATGGGAAAGGGATGGAAGATCTTCTCCCAGGACAAAGAGCAGAAAGTAGAAACCATACAAGCACTTACTCTCCACAGACTCAAAAAGTTGATGAAAGGCTTGATGACCGAGGCCTGGAATTCAAGGAGAAAATGTCAGTCACCAGCTCCCACCCGACCAACATCCACTCCAAGTGGCCTCCATCCCCCACCACCACCAGGCCCATGCTATGCCCAGAAGACTTACTCCAGATGTTACCGTGGTGGTTGCGGTTCCTCCGTGCTGGCCGGTATGCCCGCTGTGTGGAGAGCCCTGGCAACAAAGCCCCAACAGTTGTTATCACCCCTCTGCCCTCAAGGGTCTCCCAGATTCCTTTTCCCCAGGGACCTGCTCCGCTTTAGGGTGACTGGGGCGGGAGGCACAGGCTGACTTTGCATCCTCACTCTCTGTCAGAGAGAAAACCCAAAGCCCACAAGGCTGTGGGAACTGTGTGCGAGATGGGAAGGATGTCTGCCTCCTATTGACTGGCCTTTCATGAACTCCTTTTACTCTGGTGTTGGGGAAACACTCCTAATCACCGAGGGCCCTAATGGGAAAGTAAACCCAGAAGGTCCAGGCAAATGCCAGGACCATAGTTTACCCTTAGCTCTGACCTCAAATCAACCCTTCTACACAGTCTAGCCTCAACCCTACCTCAGTCACATCCCTGTCCTTGACCTCACCTCATCACTCAGCAGTGTCTCCCCAGCTGTACCCCAACCCCTGCTTCTCTTGCTGTCTGAAATCCCACCTCAAATCGCCCTGCCCAGCCTCCACTCAGGGGGTCTGACTCAGGTCCCTCTTTCTTCACTGGCGCTTCCTCCCCACCCAGCCCTCACTGGCTCCCTGCCTGCCAGAAGATGTGGCTCTGAGCCTTGAGGCCTGGGCCAGTCCTCAAGATGTTTTCATAATGTGCTAATCCGGTGACTGCTCTTGGAGATTGGAAAATGGGGAACTGAAGTGTACACAGGCAGCCTCCTGCTGTCCCCAAGCAGCTCCCTCCTTGATGCCTATTTTTTTTGTGAATGGTGCTGCTCTCCCAGGCCCTAATATCTGTTCTCCCTACATAAATGCACGAGAGAAAGCCTTCAGCAGGCCTCTCTTGATGAGGCAGTGTAGAGGAAGAGGAAGAACCACAACCTGTAATTCTCCAACTAAGCACTCGCCACCTGACCTTAACAAATCCCCTTAGCCTTGGTTTTCTTATCTGAGCATCAGGGAGTCAGCATCCTCATCCCAGCCACCTTAGAGGATTGTTACAAAGATTCAGCACAAAGCAGCTTATCTCCAAAAGGTGCTCCTCCTCATGCACACTCTTACACTCTGGTTGTTCTCAATAATCATTCTGTTTGCAGTGGAGAGCTCTGATTTGAGAACTGTTTCCTGTTTCCAAGAAAGACTACATGTTCTTCCCTTTAATCCCTTCAGTAGGAGGGCAGTTTCCTAAAGGTGGGACTGGGTCCCTTGCCCACATACAAGGTAGGCTTTGCAGATAAGATAGTTTAATTTATCTGACCCACTAATCACCAGCTCCTTAGTAAAAGAAGGAAAAGGGAGAAGAGGAATGCAGTTATGTGGCTTCCCAAGCTTCTCTGAGCAATGAAGACCACACGGCCTGCCCAAATATCCCAAGGGTTTAATCTCTCCCTCCCGATCCCTCTTCCCCAGTTTCCCCAGTTTCCCATTTCCCCATCCCTGTTCACCTACATTCAGCAGCCGGTTGGCCTCCTTGCTGGCTTGGTTGACCCCATTATGAACATCCTGCTGCAACCTGTCCATATCCTTCCCGGCCTGACCAGCAGCATGGTGGACACCTTGGCCAAGTTTCTCCGCCTCCTTTCCGGCCTGACCCGCAGCGTAGTTGACCGCTTGGTCATATTTCTCTGCCTCCTTCCTGGCCTGGTTGACCCCAGCATGGACCCCTTGGGCCATTTTGTTCGCCTCCTTTCCGGCCTGTTCAATGGCATGGTGAACTCCCTGGCCAAAGTGCTCCACCTCCTTCCCAGCCTGGTTGACCCCAGGTTGGACATCATGGATTACCCTTCCTCCCTCTTTGCCAGCCTGCCCTGCAGCATATTGAGTATCATGGCCAAACTGTTGTGCCTCCTTTGCAGCATGGCTAAGTTCACGGTGGACCCCTTGGACTATTTTTCCCTCCTTCCCACCCTGACCAAAAGCTTGGTGGGTCCCTTCACCTAACTTCTGTCCCTCCTTTGCAGCCTGACCAAAGGCTTGGTGGGTCCCTTCATCAAACTTCTGTCCCTCCTTTGCAGCCTGACCAAA